TAACCATGGATTCCCCCATCGTTAACCTCCATCCACCATAACCATAACCATGGATTCCCGCATCGTTAACCTCCATCCACCATAACCATAACCATGGATTTGCCCATCGCTAACCGCGATGCACCACAACAATATCCATAATCAGGAATTCCCCCATCGTTAACCTCGATCCACCATAGCCATAACCATGGACTTCCCCCGTCGTTAACACGATACCGTCTTCCCCCCAATAAACCCAGGCTCATCATGACTGCATCGAACCGAAAAATAGCGTGTATGCATTCATTTATGACTGCGTTTTATTCGGGCGAAGACGGTAGCCATAACCATAGCCAAGGACTCCTCCATCCATCATCAACCTTGATCGACCATACCCATACCCATGGATTCCCCCATTGATTGACAACCTGGACCCACCACAGCCATAACCGTAAATTCCCCACCGCATCGTTCACCTCGATCCACCATAACCATAACCGTTGATTCCCCCATCGTCAATCCCATGACCACAGCCATCGATTCCCTCATCGTTAACGTCCTTGCCATAACCACCATAGCCTTCGGTTCCTCCATCGTTACCCTTTCATCCGCCATCGATTCCCTCCGTTAACCTCCTTGCCATAACCACCATAGCCTTCGGTTCCTCCATCGTTAACCTCTCTCATCCGCCATAGCCGTGGTGGATCTTCCTCGTGTAACCTCGTCAAACGTCGGTCGACACGTACAACTCTATTCCCCCAAATAGAACGTATGGACGGTCATTATCGCTGTGCACCTAGACCACCGTCGTGACCATATCCATGTATTCCCCCCATCGTCAACCTCCCCTCGCCGTATCCATTACCTACTCTGTTCCCGCTGTTACCCTCTCATCCGCCATAGCCATGGTGGATCTTCCTCCACGTAACCTCGTCGTCGTCATAGCTACCGTCTTCGCCCGAATAGAACGTATGGACGGTCATTATCGCCGTACCTAGACCGCAAGTGGCGCCGAATACAGTTTACTTATAACGACCGTACGTTCTATTCGGCCTCGCCGTACCTAGACCGCAAGTGCCGCCGAATACAGTTACTTATAACTACCGTACGTTCTCTTCATTGGCTAACACGATAGCTACCAATCATGGAGACGATGACGTCACGAGTAAGATCCATGCGATCGTGCACAACGGCCACCACCAATTCGCGATGACGTCGCTGAAAAAAGACCACCATCTCCAAGGTCGAGTATCATCGCTATATACAGGAGGAGCTTGCGAGAGCCGGCCGATGGCTCGCCGCCGATGATGACGAAACCGGGATTCTGCCGATGATACCATCAAGCATTTGTCTGAGTCATTGGATGGAGTCTGTGAAATCGTAATTAGGAATTTGGGCGCCGTACGAACAGATTCCCCGGTCCCATTTTCACCATTACCACCTCCCTCTCCTCCTCCTCCTCCTCCTGCTCCTCCTCCTCCTCCTCCTCCTCCTGTTTCTCCTCCTGCTTCTCCTTCTCCTTCTCCTACTTGTCCGACGTCCTCCGCTGTCCTTCCATGCACAATTCCACTCTTGTCCCTCCACTCTGTCGCAAATTGCAAAAGCAATGTCATGTTCACCTTCATGCACGGGATCTTGGAACTGATCACGTATTCCACACTACTCCCCGCCTCCAATCCTAAATCCCCCTCCAGTCCTGGCTCATTAATCGCGCAGCAAAAGTCGGCTACCGTCGTGTTTCGCCTTGCACGGTCCGGGATCTCTTCCGGCAGACAGCTGATGCGGTCCTTCGATGGCTTTACGACGTCCATCAAGAAGATCCTTAATGCGAATGTTCCTGGGTATTGTCTTGGTCTGATGATTACCACAACACTGGTATTGGCGGGAATTGTCACGGGGAAGAACAAGCACTCCCCTGGAGGGATGGAGATGATGGTGTTGTTAAATTGCTGCTCTGGTTGGACCAGTACAGCAGCTGATGCCAGACCTCCATAGATTCGATGGGTAGATTCACGACGATGTAACTCCTGTGGCTGTGATTCTTCCCTCCATCTTCCTTCTCCTCCTCCTCCCCTTCCTTCTGCCCAACTCCATCCATGTCTCCATTGGTACCATATATACCACCAAGCGCTTCGTGATGGCTGCTGCTGATGCGGAGGAGGAGGAGGAGGAGGAGGAGGAGGAGGAAGCAAAGAAGGTCGATCTAGCATGGAGAGGAGGAGTAGTAATTGCAGCAAGAGAGTGGGTAACCCTAGTCCCAGCCCCAGTTCCATTCCTAATCGGGACACCCTATCTCTGCATCTGCGAGACTGGGCACTACAGCTGCGACTGCTGCGTCTTGTTCCCGGGGGGTCATCATCATCAGCATTCGATAATCCACAGATTCGTCTCAGCTTTCTGGCCTGTGATATCTCCAGCTTGCACCCACCTCCATAACAATATCCAGGGTTGTCGGACCCTTGGGCCATTTCGTGTATCAGGCTTTTTAGTTTTTGTTTTTTTGTTTTCTTTGGCCTTATACTTAGTATATCTGTCAGAAGAGAAGAGAGAGAGAGAGAGAGAGAGAGAGAGAGAGAGAGAGAGAGAGAGAGAG